ACTCCTGGTCAGCGCGTCTTACGCCGCAATGAGCAGGCACACAAGCTCTCACCACAGTGGGATCCCAACCCCTGGACCGTGGACCAGATCTCTGGGTCTACGGTGACGATCTCCAACTCAGCAACTGGCCAAAGATCGACTCGCCATAATTATGTCGTTCGTCAAGCCCGTAATTGTTGTCACACAGACAGCCCATCACCCACTACCAGCGGAAAGTTCTGCCACCACACCTTACAAAATTACAACAAAATCACATGCAAGAAGTCCTTTCACTTTGACTACTGCTCGTTGCGTGACATCACTCCTCACCAAAGGACTTCCTGGGGATCACAATCCTAAACAGACAAATGTACGAATACCGCAACTGACTCTGTTGTTCTGCACGCCACGATCAACACGACTGCGTGCAAGACACAGCTGATCATCATCGCTGTACTCTTCCCTGAGCACGTTACCCTGTCGCTGCAGCCTGCGACGGACATTCCATAGTTCCACCAACTTGATGGCTTGATGTTCCCATTGACGTCGACCATGCGGTGTTGCCATTGACGACCTTCAACTTCAGGTCCTTGCCGTGGTCCGCACCATTCAAGAGATGGGCCACATTTGGTGTACTTTCACCCAGTTGGTCACTTATTTTAACCTTGCCGACTTTCCACTGCCGGACTGTTGCTTCAACAACTGGCGGAGACTGCGGCACATACGCATATCATCACTCTTCCTTGCAAACATCATTTCCGTCTCCACCACGTCCTTATCAGCCTGATCCATGCCTGACACCCCCAAGGCACTGTCCACTGTGCCGCCGGGCTGGTGGAGCGACGGACCGATTCTCCAGTGACGGTCGTCGTCCACAAGGCTGTTGGAGTGCGCATCCAAGATGTGCTAGAGCTGTTCAGTGTCGTGCAATAGCTATCGCATGAGCTGATTGTTTAGTAACTGGTGGTGTTAGTGGACAGTATAGCGTAACTTGTAGTTCCTTGGTCTTTCTCTTTTGTATAAACAAACTAGTAAGCTAACGATAAACTAGTTACACTGAGACAATTCGACTGGCACAAATTACAACAAAATCACATGCAAAAAGTCCTTTCACTTTTACTACTGCTCGTTGTGTGCCAACCACCATCATCAGTGTGCGCATTGGGCCTGGTTTGGTGCATGCCTGGTGGAATCTGACATAGCGGCTGATGCAGTGAGCACGTCAGGTAACACCTAACGCATTGAAAATGACTCAACTATGACTTGGTTCGATTGCAAAAAACCTAATGATAGTGGTACCGAAACATTCGGGTAACCGGAGTAAGTGCCAATTGATATTTTTGGCTCCAGTCAGTCAAGTGATTCAATTGCAATAAAATTATATACGTATGGTGGAACTCACTTAGTACGTACCCGGGTAAGACATACACCTGCATAACACGGTCCTCTTTTGTCGCACGGATTTTCCTCCCATAAGCGCATATTCAGATGTGTACGGATACGACTGCTTCCTTCTGTTCATGTGGTTCATTGTCGCTGTGTTACTGTATGCAGATCTCACTCAGCTCTGCGAGCATGCTGCTTCCAACACGACTTCCCGAAAGGTATGTATGGTGGCTAATAAATAATGCGAGAGTCTTTACGGATTCCAGTGCTCTCATGCCTTTTGCAAGTTCCTTTTGTAAGTCAAATGGAACATGGTTTGTGGTCAATACTTCAGCAGTAGTGGTGCGAGAATATTCGGGTGTCAAATTGCTCGGAATTGATGTATGATAACGGAGAATATACCAACATGTGAATCACTTGGAGATATGGTTTGCCAGGTTCTATTCACACTCACTAGGCTAGACCCTCTCGAGTATTGTACAACAGTTTTGGCCCAGGAGTTGTAAAGGGCACGGGGCAAGCTATGTCGGGACCTGCTGTAAAGTCTGCCATACACGAGCTGTACGTCTTATCGGATGGGATATACCCCTGATATTGCTGATAATGAATGGCCCGGTTTCATTGTACTGCTGTCCGCGATATTATATCCTTAGTGGCATTGTTAACTTCTCATTGCTTGTGGGGACGCATGGATCATACGTCCATCCAACACCTGCCAATCGGAACCCACCGACAACGCTGTCGGTTGGGTTGGACCACAATCGGTTGGTTTTTGAGTCCAAGATGCCACCTAGGTAGCACACAGCATTGCTAATCTGATTTTAAATTAGCTGCGCAAATCCTGGCATACTGCCCGTAAATGCATCTAACTCCCAGGGTACTTATGAGTTTTTAGGTCTATGTGGTACTTGTGTCGCATTGGCAGCCACTGTTCCGTTCTGTATTTTCTGGTGTATGTGTCGTTGAATCTCCACAGAAAATGTGCTCGCGCATTAGAAGGAGGTGAAAGATGCACCTGCAGGAGAATACATGCTTAAGAGAAGGCAGAAACATGCCCGGATCCACCAGAACTAGTGCTGGCAAGTCAACAGAGGCGAGTACTGATAATGTTCCAGATTGTGGTAGGATCACATAAGCAAAATTGACACTGGGAGGCACGGCGGTGGGTCAGCTCATGGCCAGCTCCAGTGGATATCACGTGCATCCAGTTCTAGTACTATAGTATGACTGCTACAAAGTAGTGCGGCCCAAATAGAACTCGGGTCAGGTGCCGAAGAACTGGGGGGTGGGGGGGGGGGGGCATGTATCAATGAATGGTAATAACTCCGGAAATCATGCTGGTGTATCGACGGCGTGGGCCAATGAAGTGCTGGATTGATGGTGGACAACTGTACTGCAATCTTGGCTGGTCCCACTATCGCAGAGACAGCACTTCCTGGTGCAACCACCCTATCCTGCAATCTATATAATAATTATTATAAGAGATTTGTGTGAACGAGTTTAGCATGATGCAAGTCAGCTTATTGTGCTGGGGGCCTGGCTACATGTCACTATAGCTTTTTATAGACTCGATCACCGCATTACGCTGCCTTGCGTTGACTTGATTGAGCATTCTTTTTGGTTAGTGTCAAAGGTATATGTAATATGTATCTGCCTTCGTGCAAAGCTCTCTTTGTGCGTGTCTTGCAGATAGCTCGCTGACTTTGATGCTTTGAGCCATTTTCAAATTGCTTTTTTTGTTCATTTCATATAGACCGTATTGCCATTTGTTTAACCTCCCGCTCTTAGCTCCACTGATGGGACCTAAAAAAAGGCTGAAACAGCTGTCTGGAGATTGAGCGTCAGTATTATGGATTTAGGATACACGATCTGGGGACAGCACTAGTACTGTCTAGCTGTTTCGTCCTTTGTGGACTCATTAGCGAATCACGGAGAAATAACTCTTAACTAAGGATGAACCTAGCAGCCATGAAAATGGATAAATAATGCCTCCAAGCCAGAATTCAAGGCTACATGTGTAGGCCCGAATGTGCCTTGCCCAAGTGCTGAAACTGATAAGTCATTGAGATACGCATAGAACATCTGGCAAAGGAACTACTAAAGCCCCCACAAGCACGGTATTCTACTTCAACAAGGAAGAATTTTGAAAGCATGCACAGCCCTACATGTATAATGTTGGTATAGGTAAGCCTTGTTTGATAAATTAACATGACAAGGCGGGGGACGCACTGTGTTAAAAAACAGTGCTCCTGATACTCTAGTATGTCCTCGGCTTTGTCACATGCTGTCAACCGATCAACACATACAACGTTGCATGCGAAACGGCTGCAGCCTCGAAGTACGGAGTGCTATTTTGGAAAATGCTAGATGTACAGCCTGTACTTATACAGGTGTTCTATCAACTAGTGCCATTATGACAACGGTAGCTGAATGATACATGTACATACACCCGGGGTCATCATTTCAAGAACCTCTGGGTCTAAGCCCGAAGTAACATTCAACTACATGACTGTATACACCATCATGTATACACCATCTTCGTAGTAACTGAGTCTACCCCTCACCCACTACTGCCACTGTGACCACAATTGCGCACAAACAGAGGACCTTAGAGGACCTACTTCTAACTACAGTGCTGGCCAAAGAAATCCAACCTTATGAATAAAATTGCACCGGGCGCTACGCAGCCCTAGTAGTAAACATACTGGACCGGTCTGTGCTCTCGAACGCGGCGCTACTTTATTAACGAGGTTGGATTTCTCTGGCCAGCACTGTACAAAATACACACATGCACACACAACACTGCTAGGCTTTCCACCACCACACTAGGTTTTGAAACCGAAGAGTGGCAAAATTCAGGGCCAGACTAGAAAATCTGGGGAGACCTGATGGTTTTTTAAAGCAAAACACAGCCAACACTCTGCAGCTTCACAGCCTCCGGCAGGTTTTCCCGAGCGCACAAAATTAAAAGTTGTTGAGGCACCACGAATACAGTCGGGCGTCACAGAACGTGGGACCCAGGAATGTACGTGTATACCTCTAGGTACACCACAGCCAATAACGTTTTAAAAAGAAACGAGGTGCCAATAGACTCGAGTCTCTGCTTTTCTGGAATACAGATTCTGCTACACACGTATTGCTCACTATCCAGTGGGATGTGCATCTAAGAAAGTGGTACAAGAAGTCAAGGAACTAAGCCTAAGGCCAGATTGCTGAAAGGTTTTGTATAACTGACGAGCCTGACCCCTTGGAAACAACAGCTGTGGATGCGTGGCTCTACTGTAATAAATGTACAGGTACACAAACAATTTGAATGCAGAAATAACAACAACAAACAGGGAGAGGTGTAGGAAAATATACTCGGCCCCTAGTGAATTTGCTTGTGTATTAGCTTGAAAACTTTGGGTACACTTCTTGAGAGACCTAACTGCATGCAGCTAAAATATGGAGTGCCGTTGTCACCGACGACTTTTCCAGTAAAGTTGCGGCTAACATCTTCTCAGGTATTCCCGGGTCTTCGCTAAGGCCGTAAGGGTGGATGATATCATGTGCGTCTTCTATTGCTGATGTCGCTACACTCGATGGTGGTGCTGATGTACTGATTGTGGTGGAAGATATTGAGATGCCGTATGTCTCGAACCTTTTCGCTAGGTCTCCGCGGCCATCGCGCAAGAGGGTCGGGAGCACCACAACTGCAACGCCACAGATCCAAGGATCGATTCTCGGACAAAACATTCTTCAGATTGCCAAAGGTCCCCAGTGCTTGGCAATACTGGCCTGTACAGCATGAACACACCACACATACGCCCACACACCATGTACCATGTAAACGCCCGTTGCAGGAGAAGCACGCAAATCTGCAAATTAATTGGATGTGCACCCACAGATTTTCTCGTATAGGAACAATAGCTGATCTGAATCTGAATAAAACAGATCAAGACTAGTGCCAGATAACAGTCTAATCCGCACAAGGCAACTGGCGCAGCCATGTGAATCTCGAGCAAAATGGACAAACATGTCCCCAATTATCAGCAAACGGGTGTGCGTTACAGGATTGGCCTGGCAACTTCAAACAGGCACAATCCACTAACGTGGTGCCCCGTCAACTTCAACGGGAACACACCGATACAAACACAGCCCCACAACAGCAAAACGGGAACGCCGTTACAAATATGGTGCCCTGGCAACTTAACGGGAACGCACCAACACAAGCTGGCCTGGCACCTTCAAACAGGCACAACTGACAAAACACGGCATCCGGCAACAGCAAATGGGTAGGTACACCGTTACAAGAACAGTCCATCGCACCAAAATGCTGCTGCCACAACATTATAGCAGCAGCACGCCAGACATGCATACATGGCATTCCCAAAAGCCGATACCTGGAGTCAAATTCATCCATCACACTGTTTGTTAGGGCTGAATTTTCCAGTGACAATAGCAAATCCCGCCTAAGGCTCATGTGATGAGATCTGTACACCAACAGTTTCAGGGTATATTCTAGGACGAATTTCCAACCGGTTACGGTACAATGAGGAGTCGGGGGGTCCCCCTCCGGAAATAGTTTTCAAAATACAACCCAAATATGACACTCGACAGCAATTTAACAGATTTCTTGGTGCTGGAGTGTCGCGCGGAGCTGTTGGACTGTAGCAACGCCGTTGCTACAGCTCGATGACGTGGTTCGACCGTACAAACCATACAAACTCGTGACCCTAGTACCAGCCCACGCGGCTTCGTTGGAAGTATCCATCCAGAAAAAAGCGTATGACCATTCACAGCTCCATTCACCCACAGAAAAGTACGGGCGGTTGGAACTGATTTGTAACTTTTCAACCGGTCGCCAACTATTTCAACCGGTCGAAAACCGGTTGGGGCGGTTCTAGAAAATTCCCTGCAACTATAGTCACAGTATCAATGCACATTAGTAGAGCATAAGAACTCACTTGCGCTCATACCCTGTCACGTAGAGATGCTACTCTACGTGTACTGTTCCGATGTCCATTGGGGTGGTATGCCGGCCACTTGCCAGATGTAGAGCTTTTAAGCCGTACTTTGCCACCGTCTGCTTGCCGTATCACCACCTCACTTGCAACTCTGGATTCCAGGACTGTCGCTCCAACAATGGGCATGGAGCAGGAGCTAACCTGATAACAGTTGAGAGCGTGACAGAGTATCTTATTTAAATAAGGCCGAGTAAGGTGGATCCCTTTGGCAAAAGTGAACACAGGCTTGGTGCTACAGGCATGGGCTGTCATGTACCGGAATAGCCAATACCGGGCATGTTTGGTCGACAGTAGATGGAACTGCGACGGCTCCACCGTATATGGCCGCGTCTAAGTGACCTTCAGGCGCAACGTGACCAAGTCAGGTGCGAGACTCCCAGCCTCCCACACAAATACTCTTTGGCTGTCAAACGAGTGAATACTAGTAGATGATGCTAAATACTCGCTGGCAAACAATAAGCCATACAAGGCCAGTAGTATACTTACCCACAGCATAGCCTGATCTACAATATGACTGATTGGATCGTTGTAAGTATTGCCGAAAATGGATTAAGTCGTCCACTAAAAGCTCTTTGAAACTCGGATGTTGAGCCAATATGGCAATAATAAAATTAATGTAGAAAGGAAAAGAACGTATGGATATGAGTGTAGAGTAACTGTCACTATATACTAAATACAGTCAGAAAGTGCAACAACCAGGCACTAAAACATTTGACGACCCGACTCCTGGCTTCAACACATCTCCGTAGTGTTAAGGAGAGACCAAAGAGGGAAAGGTAATACTGGTTTCGTCATCGTCCAGTAACAATCAACATTTCTTGTTCTTGTGGGACTGTAGCTTCAACTACTAGCTTGTGCTCATTTTCGTTGCGCTTACCTTCCCCTCTTTGGTCTCTCCTTTTAACCTTGAACCTTCCAAGTTGGAAGGCTGTTGGTTAGCGCTACGGAGATGTGTTGAAGCTAGGAGTCAGGTCGTCGAATGTCTCAGCACTCTGTCAGTTTTGTGCCTAGTTGTTGCATTTTTTTACTGTAGTAGCTAGTTACAGTGGTGGACAGTTACTCTTAACTCGTATCCATATGTCCTTTTCCCTTCTAATAAAAGCTCTATCCGCAAATATGCCGAGGTGGCTTGCCGTATCTCCCTCTATGCCATGCAACACAACTGTTGAGCGAGCAGCTTTTAGGCCAGCCCCATTGCACAACAGGTAATAGGCTACTAATAGCGTAACGCAGCTAGGTAAACACGAATCGATGAAAGAGGCAGACTTCTTAGAACAAAGAGACTAGTTGTGAAGGACACAACATTTTCAGCAGTCAGCAGTAGGAGAAATTGCTCTTAATTATGCAGCAATACTAGGCTTACACGTTTGTGTCATGCGTTCTGAGACGGAGTCCTTGACTAGCTCGTCACTGGCCGCACTCAGAGCAGCAGTCGTCACTACACATGGGTTGGGAAGCAATGGACAAAATTAACACTTGCCATGCACACATGCACTGCTTACCAGCTAAGTTAATATGTCATACTGTACTGCAGCAAGCAAGGAACTGGCAATACCTGCACCAGGCCTATCTACTGTGACCCATGCCATTGTGAATGAAAAGAGGCAGCATTTGACAGTATGAGCGGTGTGATGAACGGGAATGCATAATACAAGCCAGTCGAGCATTGGTACATGTACTTACGGACGCAAGTTGGCTGCACACCGCTCCACTGGCCGTTGATTTCACAAGTACACACGGCCGAGCCCATAAGGACATAGGGAGACTGCACACAAACGTGGTCGTGTTGCTGAACATCAAGCCGTTCACGGTCATCGAGCCCAGTGCCGGTGGTGTCAGGACCTGGCAGTCGGTTTGACCTGCACAAGCACAGAGTGCACAGAGCACAGAGCACAGGCATTCAGTGCATGCATGTTTGGCCTAGGGGTGATACGAGTGCCAAAATTGAGGACTCGAGTACTCTTTGAAAAAACGAGCGAGTATTCGAGCGAGTACGAGTATTTTACTGACAACATAAAACAATGTACTGCACACACTCTCGTAACACTGAACGTATTACACCTGACACATGTAGTCTTGCATGCAGCCTAGTGCAGGAAATAGTCTGAACTACGTCTTTTGTTGGTAAGTAGGGACAAGTAATAATTTCACACTTGCATGGGTTATCAGTACTGGTCAGAGTAACAGACGTGCTTGATGTACAAGCATACAGTACACTGTGCATAAGATACTTGAGTATTTTGCGAAACGAGTCCTCACTCCTTTCGAATTTTCGAGCAAACGCTCGAGTATTCGATATACTCGTTTCATCCCTAAAACGTTTGCGTATGTGTGCGTGGCACAGACATTGGTTTTGAATACATTGTAGTACACGCATTGTGTAAAGGAAATTGATGCGAAGACTGCCTCAACATGGCCATGCAAAGTAATAAAATAAATACAGCAGTGAATAGCAGTCAACAGTAGCTCTACATTTTGCTTGTAATAGAAGTCATTAGCGTCAGAGCAAGAAGAGGGACAAGACGAGTCAAGGGACAATCCGGAGGACGCAATATCATACGACCAACTGTTTGTTTCTACCAGCGTTATTGTACCGTCGACACAGCTCTGACGACGATATACTGGGCGAATGCCGCGGGGCCTCCCAGCGTGTCAACGGCAGTGGGTGATGGGCAGATAACAAGGTAGCTTGCGGACAACATCGGTGGCATGAAGCCTAGTGACTGCCAAGCGTCTTGGCGCGACGGGCGAGCAGTACAGTGTCATGCCCCAGGGGCTGCTGTAGCTGTCGACGTCGGCGGGTCTTGAGGTGCGTTCGCAGGCCTTCATGGCGCTCGGACAACTGCAATACTAGTACACAGACTCTCACTACTAGCTACATAGTACTCTGATTCTGGCACCTTATTTCTGCATTGAATAGTGATTGATTTTCCGCGCCGAATATCCGACGCTGCATGCATGTCCAATGCGCGTCAACAGTACTTCACACTTTCCTTTTCCCGCGTTATCACCTCAGCTATGCCAGTTTTGTATGTGGAAACCCCCTATATAATAGCAGTTTGGTCTATATTTTTAATCATTCAATATCTACCTTCACTGATGAGCTATGTATTAGCGAAACAGCTGTCTGAAGGAGTTTATCAATATCGTCTACGGAAGTGTCCTCGCAATGATGATGGTTGTGTGCAGGAGGGTCTAGTCGGCTAAAGAGCGCAGTGTGGTGGTGGAGGTGACTCAACATTTTCTTCAATGGCCGAGAGCTCTGTCGCACCCTGTAATAATAATAGAAGTCATGGTACTACTATCAGTGCTGCTGCTGGTGCTTACCTGGAGCTGGTGTGACCTTGCCTGGGCAGTACTGTGCATCAGAGCCATCAGCACAGTCGTACCAAACACCGTCGCAGCGCTGTGATGGCAGGATACAGCCACAGGCTGGAACGCAGGCAGGGCAGGTAGCCAGACTGGCACTGCAGTTGAATGGCTGGATACACGTACCCATACACACAACACACAAAGCAGTCAAGAGATGAAGAAAGTGTCTGCTCGGCACATCTTTTGTACAGTCAAGAGATATTAGCATATTTGGAGGAGGTGGTAGCCTAAAACAGGCTCGACAAAAGTTACCGGCTTATGCCAACAACTCAGTGTTCTGGTAGAGTAGACGGTTCGATACCGGAACGCCTTGACAGCCAAATTTGTATAGACCCAAACCGATCATCAGCGTTGATTTTTCACTCGAAATATGTTTGTGGAAGGAAACTGGCATGTTGAAGTTTGCTCTGGGGCCAGAGTCAATCGAACTGAGCCACTCCTTTGTGTTGACCCATTGCCTCCAAGTTGCCCAATTTTTCGCTTCAAAAAAGTTCAAATCAGAGGTGGCTCCAAACCGGACACGTTTTAGAGTGCACGTCAAATTCACTTTGGGTCTGAAATTAGCTAATTGCTATCGCTCCACGACAGCCAGTACAGAGTAACAATAAGCCTTGTGTGTGCTTCCATTAGTTTTGATTGGCATGCGGTGCTTTATTGGCAAGAGGCGAGCCGCTGTTTACCTGCGACAAGAAGTTGATTTTTCGAAAGTCGTAAAACTCAAGTCGCAGTGCGAAGCAACACGTCAAAAACTCACCTGCTTGGTATGGCGCGTCTGGTCATCGCAGAGCCATGAAATTTTGGCTCGGAGTATAACACATCGTAGTCTCACTGTGACATATGTTTTCTAATCAAAATACCAAGAGAGAAAGTGAATATTGAGTCCGTTTCGGTTTGCAACCTGTGTCCTATTTGAAACCGTCGCCTCTACCCGGTGAAACACCCTAACCATACACCTACAAGTATAACATATATCCTAAGGACTCAGGCTGAGATGCCCGACTGGTCCTGGGTCCTGTGATAAGCACGATCATCATTTGTGATGATGAAAAGTGGCAGGTAACACCCAGACTACTACATGCTCTGTAAATAGGAAAGATCAACGCCACCAGAATCTGCCTTCCTACAAGCCTGAAGCTTCTCTACACAAGAGGGATATATCGGCTCTCTTGAAATTCAACTTACGATTACATGAGGCAGCTGCCCCACTCCAGGAACCGTCAATCTGGCAGATGCGCACAATGCTTCCCTGCAGGTTGTATCCGGAATTTCAGCCGAAGACGACGCTGCCTCCAGCAGAATAGTTTGTGCCCTGGGAGTAGCCGTTGGTCGGTTTAGCTAGCGGTGTGCACACACCGGCTGTACACGTCACAGGCACGTACACACACAGGCACGTACACACACAGGCACACACACACACACACACACACACACACAGGCACACACACACACACACACACACACACCTTGACCTTGATACACAAGGATTCTTCATTATTTGCCACGTTTGAGCTGAGCTGCGATCATCGCGCTTTGTTGCAGTGTGCTAAAAAAACAAGAACAAAAAAAACGGCCAAAAAAGTGGGGCGGCTGAGGCCGCCCCAGCCACCCCAGCTGTGCCGGCCTTGCATGCCTGGTGTACGGTCTGAAAGATGAAAGATGGAGCTCTTGTATACACGGGCCCGGAAAGTCTGCTTCGCCTGCTCGGCAGCAGCTTCGTAGTGGTGGTCAAGGGTCGAAGACCGACGGATACGGATCAACTCCCCAGTGATCACACCTTTACCCATACTACGGGGGTGGTTACTACCGGCAAGCAGATACAGGAAACGATTGGTGACCTTGAAATGAGGCTTCACCGCCATGTATCCCTTACTACGGAAAACTGTGGTGTCCAGGAAATCAATGCCATCATGTGCCAGTTCATGCGCAAACTCGAGGGCCGAACACTTATTAATCCTGTCTAAAGCGCGCTGAACTTGACCTTCGCAACCATGCAATGAAACAAAAATGTCACTGATAAAGCGTCTATAAACCTGAACCTCTAAACCCTCCCCCTCTAAGATCGGCAAAATGTACCGATTCTCCAAATACAGCATAACAATGTCGGCATAGACCACTGCTGCAGGCGAACCCATGGCAGTCCCTTGGATCTGCGGAAACAAATCGTTATCTTACACGAACCCGTTAGTCTTCCGAATGACTGACATCAAGGAAGTCACTGCTGTTGTTAACCGTGTACGAAGGGCCGGGGGCATCCACCTTGTATACCTGTGTGTGATATACCACGACAATGCCACGTGACCGAGCTCGTTGGGGATGCTGGTGTAAAGGCTGGTCACATCTATACTAAAAATAAATGATCGTCCCGCACAGGCAAACCTTCTACCAAGTTGATGAAATCCGTAGTTCAGGCCAGAACAGTACTTTCCTCACGTACATACAGGTTCAGTAGAAAGTCAATGAAATTAGTGGGATAGTAGCCAGGACTATTCAGACTAACAATAGGCCTAACCTTCAGGGCACAGGGCTTATGTGTTTTGATAAGTCTCCTGAAAACGGGCATACGCCCCCGGTGCGACTAAGAACAGTGACATATAAAATGGTCATACGATGCCCGATGCGATGCCTAGTCATGGTGAGTAAACAATTGACTCGGGTCGCAAACACGAAGTCTCAACACAGCCTTGAGCCTGTTGGTTGCCATCGGCAGTCTAGCCACATGTTCATCTAGCCCCTCAGGAAACAAAACAGTCATTTATA